TCACTGTGGTTTTAATTTTTAATACTTTTTTTTTTTTTTCCCCTTTTTAACTTCCTTTATCTATTGAAGTGTTAGGTCTGTAACCTTTCATTTCTGTTAAAATAGCACACGTGAGCGTCGGGAGAGACAGCAGCACCTGCAGACTATCCGGGAACGAGAAGAAAGGGAGAGGCTTGAGATTGCTCGTGAGAGACTGGAAATTGAAAGGCAGCGTCTTGAACGAGAACGGATGGAAAGAGAAAGACTGGAAAGAGAACGAATGCACATAGAACACGAAAGGAGAAGAGAACAAGATCGCATTCAGCGAGAAAGAGAAGAGCTGCGACGCCAGCATGAGCAGCTGCGCTATGAACAAGAACGTCGGTCTGCAATGAGAAGACCATATGACATAGATGGCAGGTAAAGCCAGCAAATACAAATGATGCAAGATGAAAACGTTGCTGCCAGGTTCCGCCTCATCAGCTTGTACTATAAAAAGCTATCCGTATGCTCTCAGCTTCCATTAATCAGCAGATGTTGATTGCATTGAGATGATCATGTTTAATAACCCCAGTCAAACTATCCTTTGAGGTTTTTCAACTCCCTTTTGAATTTAATTACCCTTCTACAGTTTGGAAGGAGGGAACAATATCAAAAGTCATTATCTTGACTAAAATGAGTGTGTTCTTTCTTTCAGGAGAGATGATCCGTACTGGCCAGAGGCAAAACGAATGGCAATGAATGATAGGTACCATTCAGATTTCGGTCGCCAGGATCGCTTCCATGACTTTGATCACAGGGATCGTGGCCGTTATCAAGACCATTCAATAGACCGGTTGGTGTCTTACCTCCACCCTGTTGCCTGAAATAGAAAGACAAAAATGCATTTATTGTCATATTTTGCTGCCTTTACTGTGTGTTTGGTTTGCATTTTATTTTTTAAGTGTGGCTTAGTGGCTGTGGACTTTTTCTTATATCATCATGAAGAGATCTGTACTGTGCCATGAGTTAAACCTTCTGTCAGGCTTGTTCAGAGTGTTCTGCTTGCAATGCTGTTTCACACATTTGTAGGATGCTGAAAAATTTCTAAATAATATTGTAGGCACCTAGCATCTTAACGAGAATATTCTGGTTTATACTTTAGGACTAACTGGGTTTTCCAGGAATCCAAAATGTGTCATGGTTTCCATACGTTCCAGCTGTTTGTGCCTTTTGTAGGTAATGTTGGCACTACATGGAAGCAGGATATTTCACCTGTATTGTTACGTAGATGGATTTTTATATGTTTTATATGCTGTATGTTTTACTACCACAGTCTGATTTTAATTATCTGTTTGTAGGAGAGATGGATCAAGGACAATGATGGGAGATCGGGATGGACAAGTGAGTTGCTTTATAAAGCTACAGAAACATCTTAACTTCTTATAACCTGGTTTTCTATAGTGTGTGTCAGATTACATTTCAGCAGTTAAGAATTAAATTATATCTCCCAAAATACATATAAGTAACCAGATTGTCTTGTTTTCTTTAATAAGATGAAATTTAGTTTAAAGACTTGTTTATTATAAAAGTTAGATATAGCTATTCTGATACCAATCAAACAAAACAAGTGAATTGTGTCAAAAAGGTAGAGTATTCCAAAAGATTGTGTAGAAAAGGCAAAGATACAAAGTACGCATAAAATTCACTCTATGAGGTTGCATGGAAATAACAGCAAAACTAGTAGAGATGTTTGCATGTTTTTGAGGGCTGGGGGAAAGACCTTCAGGGCACATTCAAGCAGTGAGAGATTAATTTTGCGGAGTCACGGAATCCTTAAGTGCCCTTTACTGGTGGCTAAGCTGTGAGACTCAGAGGGACCTGGTTAGGCTGGAGAATTGGGCAGAGGGGAATATCATTAAGTTCAACGGGAAGTGCAAAGTCCAGCTCCTGGGGAGGAATAACCCTGTGCAGCAGTACATGTTTGGGACCAACCAGATGAAAAGCAGTTTTGCAGAGAAGGACCTTGGAGTCATGGTGGACAACAAGCTGACCATGAGTCAGCATTGCACCGTCCTGGCAAAGAAGGTCAGTAGCATCCTGGGCTGCATCAGGAAGAGTGTTGCAAGAAAGTCAAGGGAGGTGATCCTTCCTCTTTACTCAGCACCCATCTGGTGTACTGTGTCCAGTGCTGGGCTCCCCAGTACAAGACAGATAAGAGCTTACTGGAGTAAGTGCAGCCCAGGGCCACAAAGATGATTAAGGGCCTGGAGCATCTTTTGTATGAGGAGAGGCTGAGAGAGCTGGGACTGTTCAGCCTGGAGAAGAGAAGGCTCAGAGGTTATCTTACCAATGTGCATTAATACCTCACGGGAGAGAGGGTATGGAGAAGATGGAGCCAGGCTTTACTCAGTAGTGCCCACTGACAGGACAAGAGTCCATGGGCACAAACTGAAACACATGAAATTCCATTTGAAGACAAAACAAATCACTTTTTTTTTGTTTAAACTGTGAAGGTGGTCAAACATTGGAACAGGTTGCATGGGAAATTGTGAAGTCTCCAGCTGTGAAGATACTCCAAACCTGATGGGAGACTTCTGGACAGCCTGCCCTGGCTGACCCTGCTTGAGCAGGGGGCTTGGTGGACTAGATGATCTCAGGAGGTCCCTTCCATCCTAAATGATTCTGAGATTGAACAATTACAGCTGAGCAACTTTGAACAATTAAAGAGTCTGTTTTGGGCAGTCCTGTAAGTGTTCTTTGCCTTTTAGCATTATCCAGATGAGCGCCATGGAGGACCAGACCGTCATTCACGAGACTCTCGGGAAAGTTGGGGTAGCTATGGATCTGACAGAAGAATGAGTGAAAGTAGAGGGATACCCCCACAGTCACGGTTAGTACACATAACTGAAAATATTTTTTCTTGTGCATCTAAGGACTATTTCCGTATGTGAAAATGGGATGCAGTTTTTGGAAGTACAACTCTTTTTTTCCAACTTTCATTCCTGAGTCTGTTCTCTGTTGGATGGACTACAAATGAGTAGCTCTTTCGGCTTGCCTTGTGCGTCAAAACATGCATCTTGGCATGATTTTTTTTTTTTTAGTAACTTCACATCTGAAAGTCTTCATGTTTTCAATTAATTTTGCCTAACATTACTATCAAAGCTTGATATTTTCAGGGTAGTGGTTCTTCCCCAGTTTGTAGTTGTTGGAAGCACCATCCCGTTAGCCCTTTGAAAGGAAAACAAGTTAGTTAAATAATTAGACTGGGAGTGTGTGGGGGGTGTTTTGAGATTTTGTGTTGTGTTTTTGTTTTTTAATACGTCCTATGAGCAAGCCAGCCTACAGGAAACACCAAAAATAAATTGACTGATCAAAATAACAAGCTAGGATGTTTGGAGTAAACTGGGACAGCAATGTACCATAAACCAGATTAAGAAAATCTTATTTGTCATGTTAGTTGGGTTGAACAGAAGGCTTATTACTGAGATTTGACTTAACAGATAGAAATATAAATATGAGATTTGCATGTACCATGGTAAAGTATTTAAGTAAGTTTGTGACTTAGTTGTTTTACTTGAATCTATTTTGTGTGCTCTGGCTAATGTGACAAGGTATGAATTTCATACTTTTGCAGGGATGGACGTGACTGGGGAGATCACGGTCGAAAGTTTGAAGGACATCAAGATCGTTCATGGCAGAGCAGTGTGGATGGAGGAATGATAGGACGAGATCATGAGAGATGGCAAGGTATGCTTCTTGCACAACAGCTCATTAGTTGTGCTACGTAAAGCAGAAAATACAGGCATTGTTATCCTTGGAGATGAAGTAAAACTATTACTGTGGATATAAAGGAAGCATTTGAACTTTTTTAGGTGGAGGTAGAGGCAGACCTGGCCATGTGATGCATCGGGGCGGCATGTCAGGGTAAGAACTTTAAAAAGAGCAAAGTGTTTGTTTCCCTTTTAAGGGTCATCTCTTCTATTTAAATTGGCCAAAGAAACTAAAATATGGGAGCATCGGTTATCCGATTTTTTTTTTTTATTATTATTTAAATGTCAAGGAGTAATAAAATATTCCCATAGTTTTTATGTAGTCCATCTTATTGAAGAGTGAAAAATCACGCAACAAGTTTTAAAAGAACACCCATTATATTAACCTGACTACCAGAGTCACAAGAGAAAATTAAAATGTCTGAATCTCTTTCTAGGCGTGGAGGTTTCATGCAAGGTGGCAACCAAAGTCAGATGATGCATGGAGGAGGAATGCAAGGAGAAGGATTTGCTGGCCAGGAGAGAGCAAACAGACCTAATGATCCTCGTTTCAACCGTCGCTACTGAATGTGTTTTAATTTTTAATGCAAGGTGGCAACTGAAATGAATCTGTTACCCAGGGTTACCATTAATTGTAACTTATGGGCTACTGTAAGTGTAATTTTTTTTTTTAAGCTGCTGCCATATTATGTCACTCAATCCAATGTGAACTCATTTGTTTTGTAATGTGTTGTTCATATCCCATTTAAAATGTTTGTTAATGAAGCATTCCATTTTCCATAAATAAAAGCCAGTTTACAGTTAATTGCTTTGTTTCAGCAGTCGCTGGAGAACTAATTTATTCAGCTATATGTTAAACCATGTACCTTTCTTTCAAAGGTGAAGTATCAAAATGCTTTACAGGTGTCCCTTGGCACTTTCAGTAGCACGCAGCTCCCAGAAATACACTGAAATACTGTGTTACTTCAGACATGTCAAAATTAACTAGCATACGCGCCAGCATGAGAAAATGTTAGTAGATTGCAGTTGTCAAAGTTTGAACACCCTGCCACTGCAAAATTGACTTAGGATCCTGTAGGACAAGTGGTGAAGAATTTTTTTTTTTCATCTTGTCTCATGTTGGTGGGTACCGTGCAACATAATACTCTTCGCTCTCTGAAAAAGGCTACATACTGAGTTACCAGCACAGCTTCTATAAGAGAAAATGCACAGGTACTTGTGAAAGTAATGACTTTAAAGTGCAAGTCAGAATAATTTTTGTTTAGCTAGGGCTAGATCAGGGTAGTCCAAAGCTCCACCAGTTTCAGGCCAGTAATTTTACCTAGCGATCCATAATTTCCTTGAAGTAGATTAGAAACAGCCATTGGCTGTGCTTTGGCATCATTTTAAGAATGTGTTGAGAACTAACATGATCAAGATTAGTGCAAATGATCTGTCACTTTGTCATATCCAAATTATAATTTGTGCAGTCATCTCTGGAGCAACACGGCCTTAGCATTACCCACCAAAGACGGCTTTTGTGATGCCAAGAGGAAAAAATCCTGTTACTTTCATTAGTAGGGTCACTGTTTTTTTTCCATCTTCAGAGATGTTTTTTTCTCAGTTGCCTGAAGATTTTTTTTTTCATTCATTTCCTACAGTTGCATTGTTATGGGAAGTGAAGTTCTTCAGGTCTTTTTCATCAGGGTTGGGACTTCCCACACTGGAGGAAGATCCCTGTGGACAAACCATCTGAATTCTAAAAAGCTGCTTTGATTGCAGTGGGGAGTTGCCTGAGGCTGTCTGGATCACACTGACATCAACCTCAGTGTAAAAGAGTTCTTGTTTTAATGGTGAAGCTAAGGCCCAGAAAGACTTGAGTCATTTGTTCAAGAACACAAACTACAAATGCAAACAGAAAGAATAGATTTCCAGACTGCTACACTTAGTAGCAACTAACTGTAATAATTCTGTGGGTCTGGCTAGGATCCAGTGCTTCCTTGCTTTTAATCCTTTAGATGTTCACCTCTGATACAGAGAAAGAAAAGGAGCGGTGATACCCCCAGACCTGCTCTGCTTTGTCTTTCCCAATTCAGATCATCGACCATTAAGCATGAGGACAAGTGAATCACTCCCACTAGACATACCCTATGGCTGTCCCTATTACTGTATCTGGACCTTCTCTGCAGGAATTGCATGGAAACATGAAGCTCCAGCACAACTGACCTGTCCATTTGTAGCTTTAAGGAGAGCATCTTTCCTTGTCCTCAGCAGGTATGTAGCATCCCAAAAGGGGTATGAGATTTCCCCTTCAGCCAGGGCAGGCTCTGTTGACAGCACCACACAGTCATTTATAAGCATGAGGAACATTGCCATCTCCTGGTCTGCTATTTAAGGAGTTTGGAGAAGTTGAAAAAGTGATGCCTGTTGCCCAGGCCATTGCATCAACCTACGTAGATTGATGCCAAAGGGATAGTATTTTATCACCTGGCGAGACAATTATTCTAATAAAAGAACCTTTCTGACCACCGGGGGGGGGGGAACAACAAACAACCAATCAGACTGGAGCCTCTTATTATCTCATCACGATGTTTATGGCATTTGAAAATCTTATTTACTTTAGGATGAAGGCTTTTTTCCCCACCACGTTTTTAACTGACCTGCATTTCCCTCTAATTCCGCTAGATGGCCGCACTGACTTACATGCATGTTTCTGACATGGTAGCGGCCGATCACGCAAACCTTGACACCCAGTCAGTAGCTGGGATATCTGTCCAGTCTTTATTAAATCCAGTGCATGGAAACTATTGGACAAATTCTGGCTTTGGGGCTGTGGTTTTTTTTTTGTTTGGTTTGGTTTTCACCTGGAGCAAAGATTTCTATGGGCTATCAAAAAAAAAATCCACACAGCACAAGTGGAGACAAAGCTAAACGGCTGCCTTCTATTCCCCGATTCCAAATAAACTCAGGATAGAGACGATGTGACCCAACTTTAGCAGAACTTCAGAATGTCCACTACTGGTGTAAGCAGGTTGCATCTTTGTGGTTAATTACTGCTGTAATCAACTGCTGTAACATGTAAAGCACACAGTAAAACATATATATACTGATTAACTCAGGTTTGCATAGGACAGAAATTGGGTTTGCATAAGGTATTTTTTTTCAAACAGCAAATGTGAGTTCCCTGGTTTTAAGAGATCCTCAATCATTGAACTTTTGCAGGCTAGAGTCCTCAAGGTAGTTCTAATGAATGTTACCAAAATCATTCAGGTGTTGGGTTTTTTTTTTTAAAAAGTCTGTTACAGGAATCAAAACCAACCAAACAAGCAATTTTAATACTGCTTATGTCTGCCTTACTCATTAACCTTACTGACTCTGCAAACCTGTTGGGAGTCTCAGCAATGGAAGGACAACTTCCAGACCAGTCCCACCCTTTCTGGTCCTTAAAATGAAACCAAGTGAAGCATGCAAGCTCTGTGATGAGGAAAGCAAAGTAATTGCATTCAAAGGAGGTGGAATAATCTTATTAACTAAGAAGCCGAAGCCAGGTGTGTTTTAGCATTCAAGGCACTATGGCTAATGATAATCTCCCAGCAATTTCAAGCTCACACATGAAACCTATATCTGGCCTGCAGATGGAGAATGTTTGATGGTAACGAGCATGCAAGCAAGATCCTGAGCATGTGCCTGTTTCCAATTTAACAGTGCCCTCCAAGGAAAGATTTAGTTACCACAGTACAGCAGAGTGAGCTGCCTGCCCTACCATGTTTGTCCCTCAGTATTTTGGTTTAGTGTTATTCAGTGTTGCTGTTGTGGTCTCTCAAGTTCATAGTTCAGGTAAGAAAGTTTTTGCTTACGTTGGTCTGATCTCTGAAAGCTATAGCAATGTGAAGTGTAGCTCTTGTATGTCAGCTGCTGCTTGTTTTGCAAAGGAAGACAGACTCCACTGGGGCTAGCTAATTGAGTCACCTAACAGCTCTGTCCAAACAGGGAAAAACATCTCCAAAAGTTGTGCGAGGTTCAAATTTGACCTGGAATTGTGTAACTCGGAATGAATGGTCTGTGCTGTTAAGACAGAGGAACTTTCACAGCATCTAGCTCTTAAAAGGCCAGCCTAGTGTGTCTACGCTAGAAGCCTAGCCTCTATCATTAGTGGAGGGAAACAGTTCCTAACTGTTTTGGAGCCTTTCACTGACTTTGCAAGTCTGTGTAACTAATCTGATGCCATAGTTAAATGGCATAAATCCTCCATAATTCATGTTTACTTCATAAACATGCTAAAGATGCTGGTGGTGCAGGGTGTCATCTGTGCTGGAATGACAATGCTGCAGGAAGTGCGAGGATGACAAAGTACACCTCGTGCCAACTCTCTTGTCTTGAGAAGGCAACTGAAGCATTTGTACAAGCCGAACTAGGATGCTTACTAAGTGCTGACGTACAAGAGAACTGTATTCACTTGTACATACATTCCTCTTCTTTTTAGTAAATAACTTGAATTACTTAAGATCACTCATAAAATACCATTAGGAAAGCATATTACAACGAAGACACTTTAGAAAGCAATCATCAAAGGGCAAAAAAGTGGTACAGAAGATCATGAAAAGCATGGAGAACTAAAGTTCCAAGCATACCAGAGGTGCAGTATTCTACCTGTTTGTACATAGTGTGTGTACATAAACCAAGACCATGCTTTGTTCAAAGTGATTACATTTTGTTTGTAGCAAAAGCTAGAGAGATGAAAACTCTCTTGATGACAGTGTCAGAATTTTCTTAGTGGGAGTTTTGGCCTGGTGGGATGGGGGAGTAGACACAGAACCATTCACTGGAGTCCTGAACCTCACTCTACCTCTCCCCTTATCTTCTGGGACATTCAAGCTGAGGGTAAGTGTTTTCAGAAAAGACTTGAAGATGATAAGTACGGAGGCTATCCTGGAGACAGGAGGTGATTCTTTTATTACTTCTGGTGATTTGCAAGGTAAAAATTAAACACTGCTCTGGAAAATTAGGTCCTCCGTTTTACCAAAGAGCAATAAAGGGGTAGTCAATGGTAGACTGACCCTTACTCTCATGGGAGAGAATGGAGGTCTGTTCCAGTAAACCCACGTTCCCAGTGCATCCCTAGCTGAGCTATTTGTTATGTGAGATGAGCTGCCTTTCAAAGTTGGTTGCCTAAGCCGCAGCAAGCTTGTTACACAGGGTCTGTAGAATGGCAGACAGCTCCTGCCTCACAGCTGGAGTTAATTTGATTACATACTGTAATTGCCAGCATGCCCAGGAGCCTGTCTGCTGAATAGCAGCCCTGCACAAGTATCTTAGCTCCATTACTTTCTGGTGTGTGTGTGTGTGTGTGTGTGTTGGGGGTTCTTCTGTGACAGAAATTCCGGCTGGAAAAGCTGTGCTGCTTCAAGGGCAGTTGCCGTTGGGAAGCCAAGGAAGAAATGGGGGTATCAAGGTTCTAGAATGAGGTGAAGCATCTGGCACCTGCACAACAGAAAGAACAGAAGGAAGGGGGACTACTAGGTAAAAGGCTAAAAGTAAAACAAGACTTGCCTGTAGATCTGTAGGGAAGAGCTCGCAACAAGGAGGGAAGCAAATGATTTATCCTCCCTTAAGAGAGGATACTGACTAAATTCCCAAACCAACATGTGATGTTGTGCCTGTACAGCTGTGGAAAGGCTATGGTACTGGAACTGATGGAGGCAAAATATTATTGCATTAGACTGTGAGATAACTAGGAGATAATCCCCTTTCCTCTTTGCCCCCATGCCTTTCTCTCCCCCTGTCCCCTCACTAGTAAAGCAAGCACTATATGGAATACAGTTTCAT